TTATTTCCACCTGCAGAATGGAATGTTTATAACTATATATTCTTTAGTTAACTAAGATTTCTTAATATGGAAATCTGACCGTGCTTTATCCAGTCATATCTAATGCTATTAATACATTTTAATTAATTTAATTAATTAAATGAAACCAGTATAATTACCAGTTGAGTAGATATTTCATCCGATTGGTAGACAGTCTCAGGAGCTTATTTGGGTGTCTCTCTGCATGGAGGTGTGTAGGTAATAGTGTCCTAGAGTATCATTGCTCCCCACTGCTCACTTCTTTGCTTTCTTTGCATCCCCTTGCATTTCTCGTCTCTGTCCCCTTCTCAACCCTTTGTCCTAACTTTTAAAGGGCCAGACTCTCTGTACGTCATCAGTTGATAACCCAATAGAAGCACTAGAGGTGTGGTTATCTTCCAGATCGTAATTTAGGTATTTGGTCTATAGAGGGCAGTCTTGTCCCACTAAACATACCTATCCAGGAAAGAGTTAACTTTTCCTGGTGGCTATTTTGACGTCATTTTGGCCTTATCTTTATAGTGCCATAATTTAAAATTTCAAAGGGTTTTCTCTTAGTTTTGTCCAGACTTAGTGTCTGCAATTCCTGCTATAATTTCTGATATGGCAGATCATGAACTAAGTTTAACCTTTTCCGTACAATGGTACCTTACACATATAGACAGTAAAATTAAATTATTTAATCTTCTCTGTCACAAATGTCTGGGTTTAGAATTGATCTATTCCATTAGCATTTAGACAGTCTATCCAACCCCCGTTCTCCTTATCACTTGGTTTGTATATACTATGCATTCCTTTAGCTCTGGGAAAGTGGTTAGTTTTACAGAAAGAAATCTTGTGTCTTTTGTTAGCTTGAAAATAACAAAATGGAGTCTGGTCTGTTCAGAGTGACTCAGAATATACACTTTTAATTTCTATAATAGCACAAGATGTCTGCCGATATAAATACCCTGACAGGAAAAATCCTTGCACCGGCCCTGGCTGGAGAGGGCTGTGGCCGCACAGTGCCCCATGGTAATTAGGGTGCTGTGCGGCCAGTACAGCTCAAACAAGCAAACAGCTGATAAACTGGCCACACGGAGGAAAAGTGTGGCGCAGCTAAGCAAAATCGGGGGCGGCGCCAAACTGGCACTGGGGGCGGGGCTTAATATGGCCCTTACCCACTGCTGTTAGGAGGTGCAGCAAGATGGAATCTCGGCTTCTCCACAGGCTTCAGAGAAGGACTTCAGGGAATCCAGTCCTCCTCCATCCCACTGTCTGTAAGTAAGAGTGTGTGTCTGTGTGTGTGTGTGTGTGTGTGTGTGTCTGTGTGTAACTGTCTGCCTGTAACTGTGTGTGTGTGTGTCTGTGTGTAACTGTATGCCTGTAACTGTGTGTGTGAGACTGTCTGCCTGTAACTGTGTGTGTAACTGTCTGCCTGTGTGAGACTGTCTGCCGGTAACTGTGTGTGTAACTGTCTGCCTGTAACTTTGTGTGTGTTTATGTGTGTGTGACTGTCTGCCTGTAACTGTGTGTGTGTCTGTCTGTAAGTGTGTGTGTGTTTGTGACTGTGAGTGACTATATATGTGACTGTCTGTCTGTAACTGTGTGCGTGACTGTCTGGCTATGACTGTATGTGACTACCTGTAACTGACTGTGTGTGTAATTGTCGGCCTGACTGTCTGCCTCTGACTGTTTGATGTTGCCTGTAACCGTGTGTGAATATCTGTCTGTGACTGTGTTCATGTGACTGTCTGCTGCTGTCGTTTGTGTGTGTGTGTGTGTCAATATATATGTGACTGTCTGCCTGTAACTGTGTGCATGACTGTCTGTGACTGTATGTGGGACTGTCTGCATGTGACTGTGTGTCTGTAACTGTGTGTGTGTGTGTGTCTGCCTGTATGTGTGTGTGTAACTCTCTGCCTGTGACTGTGTGTGTGAGTGACTGTATATGTGACTGTCTGTCTGTAACTGTGTGCGTGACTGACTGGCTATGACTGTGTGTGGCTACCTGTAACTGACTGTGTGTGTAACTGTCTGCCTATAACTGTGAATGTGACTGCATGTGACTATGTATGTGTAACTGTCTGCCTGTGACTGTTTGATGTTGCCTGTAACCGTGTGTGAATGTCTGTGACTGTGTGCATGTCTGCTGCTGTCATGTGTGTGTGTCAATGTATATATGACTTTATGTGACTACATGTGTTTCTGTGTGCGTGCGACTGTCTGCCTGTAACTGTGTGTTACTGTCTGCCTGTAACTGAGTGTGTGACTGTCTGCCTGTAAATATGTGTGTGGGGCTGCAGGGATTTTGTAGAAGGGGGCGGGGGTTTTGTATTGGGACAGGAGTCTTTATAAGGGGGGATAAGCAGGGGATTTGTGGAAGGGGGCTGCGGGGGTTTTGTAGACGAGGCAATACAGGATTTGTAGAAGGGGCAGGACAGAGGTTTTGTAGGAGGGGCGGAGCAGGACAAAGGTTTTGTAGGAGGGGCTGACAGCGGTTTTGCAAAGTTTACAAATTATAAAAAAAAAGAAAGAAAACCTTTAACATTTTTTACAGGTTTTTTTTTTTGGGGGGGGAAGGGGGTGCCAAGCACAGGTTCCGCCCCGGGTGCCAAATGCTCTAGGTACGCCCCTCACTAGGAGCATCCGTCAGCGGAGGTACCCAACATACCAACATACATATATACATACATACATACAGACTGACATGCATACAGACTGACATACAGATATACATACTGACATACACAGCTAATTTTTCAGCCACCCTCCTGTTTCTTATCTTTTTGTTGCAGAAGGGTGGCTGGGGCTGATGGGAGTCAGCATAGCTTTCCCTATTCACGGCTTCCACGCTTTTTCTCCTCCTTCCCGCGCAGAGTGAGCTGGGAGTTTTAAAGGGGCCTATTACAGCGCTGATCGGGCCCCTGAAGATATAGTCAAGTGGCCTTAAATGCAGTTCCGCTGCTACACATGGTGCCCGGGCGGTTGGGCCCCCCAGGGCTGCCAGGCCTGTGACAGCTGTCATGGTTGTCACCCCCTGATGGCGGCCCTGATTTCATGAATTTTTATTACAGAATGAACCCAGATTGGACTGAACTGCAAGAAGGACCTGTGCCAAAATGAGTTGTGTCTTTCCTTGGTGTCAGACTCAAAAAAAAGCTTTTAGTGCTGCATGTTTTTCCCAAACAACTCAACTTTAGTTTCATCAGTCCACAAAACATTTCCCCAGTAGTGTTGTGGAGTGTTCTTTGGCAAACTTCAGGCATGCAGCAGTGTTTCTTTTGGCTTCCTGCTTTCCATGCATATTCAATGTTTTCCGTATAGTAGACTCATGAAGAGAGATGTTGACCAGTTCCAATGACATCTTCACATCTTTTTTCACTCTAAGGTTCTTTTTTATCTCATTGAGAATTGTGCAATGTGCCTTTTGAGTTATCATGGCTGGACGGCCACTTCCAGGGAGAGTAACCACAGTACTAAATCATTTCCATTTATAGACATTTTATCTAACTGTGGACAGACACATATCTTAGCAAAAAACTTAGTAACCCTTTCCAGCTGTATGCAACACAACATTGATCACAGGTCTTCTAAGAGCTCTTCTTTGCAAGGCATAGTTCACATCAACAGATGATTTTTATGAATAACAAACTCAAAATATTTGAGTGCATTTCTGAGTGCAAGTCAAAGTAGCTGTAATCCACACCTTCAATCTCGTTTCATTAATTGGACACCAGGTTTGCCAATTTCCAACTCTAAGTAGCTTTTGTTGACGTCATTAGCCTGGGGTTTCACATACTTTTGCCAACCTATACTGTGAGTATTTTAACTATATTTTTTATATGTACAAGATCAATACAATAATTTCGTTTTAAAAATTGTCTTTGTTGATTGCTGTAACTTAGATTAACTGCAAACCAGATTTTTAAACAAATTTATACATAAATGCATAAAAGGTTTCACTAAAGGTTTCACATATCTTTTTTTTTGCCACTGTACTTATAGTATGATATAATTACATTTTAATTGTACCAGTATCTAGCAATACATTTATACCAGTAATACATAGTATGTGGAAAGTAACTTAAAAGACCACTATAGTGCCAGGAAAACAAACTCGTTTTCCTGGCACTATAGGATCATTAGGTCCCCCCACCCTCAGGGCACCCCTCCTGCTGGGCTGAAGGGGTTAAAACCCCTTCAGCCACTTACCTTTCTCCAGCGCCGGGCTCCATCAGTGCTGGTGACCTCTCCTCCCCTGCCAACGTCCGATCCGAAAGCGCATGCACGGCAAGAGCCACGAGCTTTCAAACTGCCCATAGGAAAGCATTACTCAATGCATTCCTATAGACGTCCAGCGTCTTCTTACTGTGATTTTCATAGTGAGAATTGCGGAAGTGCCTCTAGCGGCTGTGAGTGAGACAGCCACTAGAGACTGGATTAACCCTCAGTGAAACATAGCAGTTTCTCGGAAACTGCTATGTTTTCAGCTGCAGGGTTAAAACTAGAGGGGCCTGGCAGCCAGACAACTTAATTGAGCTGAAGTGGTCTGGGTGCCTATAGTGGTCCTTTAATAAAAAATTAAAAAAAACAAACACACTTTATGCTTTTCCCCTCCGGGTTAAGCTCATAAAACGAGCTTCTGGCTCTCACTGAGCTGCACTGTAGGGGGAGAGCTGTTCCTGTCAGATGCCAAGTAAGAAGACAATCCATTTTGGTTGGATTCCTTACAATGAGTGGCACCAGGGCATTCTTGGCACTACAGTGTAGTAGTTATGGCGCTTGGAGTATTCCTTTAATACTCATAGTGCACATGATGGTGATATAAAAAATATAAAACATAATGATGTGTTAATTTTATAAGTGATTTGCTAAAGAACAATGCATTGCCAATACACACAATACCATACAAGATATATGGAAAGATATGTTTGGTTACTACTTATTGAACTTACCCATCATTGCAGCTGTAGTTTGCTTTGAAACCAAATGTTATGTCTGTTACTTCTACAATTCCATTTGTGATATTTTCTGGCATTTCACATGACACAACTGCAATATATAATAATTATAATAAATATGGGATATATTTAGTTGATTTAATTAACGCATGCACTATTGAGTTGGGTTTTTTAACCATTTGCCCACTGGCTACAAGCATAAATAGATTCAATTGCATAAAGCAGATACATCTTTTTTGTTGATTTGGTTGGTTCCAGGCAAGATCTGCTTTCAAACAAGACTTTGCAATATTATTTTGTGTAAGATGCACATATCAGAATTACTGTGTTTAAAACAGACAGCAGATTGTATAGACCAAGATATGCTAATTCATGTGAAATTAAATTTCAGAAGGAATTGCCTTAAAGAGACATTACAGGCATCCAGACCACTTCAGGGTTCAGAGAAGAGCTACTAAACTGGTTCATGGATTGCAGGATAAAACTTACCAGGAAAGGTTAAAGGATCTTAACATGTATAGCTTGGAGGAAAGACGAGACAGGGGGGATATGATAGAAACATTTAAATGCATAAAGGGAATCAACACAATAAAGGAGGAGACTATATTTAAAAGAGAGAAAAACTACCACAACAAGAGGACATAGTCTTAAATTAGAGGGACAAAGGTTTAAAAATAATATCAGGAAGTATTACTTTACTGAGAGGGTAGTGGATGCATGGAATAGCCTTCCAGCTGAAGTGGTAGAGGTTAACACAGTAAAGGAGTTTAAGCATGCGTGGGATAGGCATAAGGCTATCCTAACTATAAGATAAGGCCAGGGACTAATGAAAGTATTTAGAAAATTGGGCAGACTAGATGGGCCGAATGGTTCTTATCTGCCGTCACATTCTATGTTTCTATGTTTCATCTTATTGAAGTGGTCTAGGTGCGTAGTCCATGGTCACTTAACCCTGCAAAGGTAATTATTGCCCTTTTTAATAAACTGCAATGATTATCTTTGAGGGTTTACTCCACCTCTAGTGACTGTCTACCAGCCAATCACTAGAGAGACTTCTGGGTTGTTAGGCAACTTTTGGTCATCTAACTGATGCTGGGCATCCTCACGCTATGCATGAGGACACCCAGCATTATGTAAACCCCATAGGAAAGCATTATGCATTCTTTCTTATGGGGGAAATCCTAATGCGAGAGAGGCCATTGTCACACATGCGCATAGGGTCTCCCTTGCAAGCTGATGTCAGCAGGGGAAGCAGTGAAGGCGGAGGCCAAAGCAGCAACGAAGTACATCAGACCTGGACTCAGGTAAGTGACAGAAGGGGTTTTTAACTTTGTTTTCCTGGCACTATAGTTTCCTTTTAAGTAATTATGACAATTGCAAATCCAGTAGACATGTGGTGATTTTAAACGAATACTGATAAACTGAAATATATCCAAATTATTGTAAATAACATGTATTTTTCTGCGTGAATAGAACAATGTAAATTACATTTTAATTTTACTTACTTGTACAAAATTCCGTTATTTCTGACCATATGAAATCCTCTTGGCATTTAACAGAGCGAGCTTGGAATGGGTCAAAATCAAAACCTGGTAGGCATTCATAATTGATATACATTCCAGCTGGGAAGTACACAGGGTCCGGCAGCTGTACTATCTCAGCAAATGAAGGTTTTGGTGGGAATGGGCATGTCCCTAAAAAAAGGATAATAAAATAAAATGAAGCGGTTTATTCAGAACATTATGCTGCAGTAAATTGAAAACTGTGTTATTAAAAAATAGCTGAAAAAAATATTTGACCATGCAGTTTAAGTGTCACTTCTCTGAAAATACACTATTGAATAAAATTACATTTAACATGTTGTTGTTGTTGTTTTTCTTCTGTTAATCTGTTTTCTTTTAGAATGTATATTAAATGTTTAGCAAGTGTCATTACAATCCAGTTCAGTCCAGGGCACATAGTACAAATGAGGAGAAGAATAGTTTCTTCTCTTCATTTAAACATATTAAATGGCAGAAAAAGTTTAAAAAAAAAAAATAATTGTAAATGATCGAGAGTGAGCTGGAATGGAGTTGCCCAGTTCCGGAACTGATGTGTACTTTTCTACATTTCGTTTTATTTACTAAATACAAGGGATAAGTAAACAGAATATTACAAATCCTGAGAAGTAACACTGTCACTTTAAATAGCTAATTAAGTTGTTAAGTGGCCATACTTAACTGTTTAGTGATTAAACCCCCAATAGGTGAATATGTATGTTTGTTACATATAGTTTGCCCATTTACTATCTGCAACTGTCTCTTTTTATTCAACCCTAGCTTACTGAAGTCATGAAAATTAACCGCTTCAGCTATTTTTTTTTATTATGAGATATATAAAACCAAATTGAAATGAGGAAACTAGCTTATAGATTATTTGAAGGTGATTGGCTTTTCTGGTCTAGGTTTTGCAATTGGTTTTCATTTCAGCTTAGTACACTATTTAGCGAATAAACGTTTCACTTTTAATTATTAACAGTATAAGATTTGATATACGTGCATTACCCACTCATTTTAAATTAACAGTGTGTATGAGTTTATAAATATATCATATAGTTTAGTTTATTTTTTAGTAAAAGCATATTTATGACTCATTAAATGTAAACCATTTAACGGATAAAACGGATATCTACTGACAAGTCTTTTTGTGTGCAATACTTTTTCAATCTCTTATACTGCCTTTTCTTTTTTGTCAACAAATATGAAATCAAACAGCAATTTAATGTTGTCCAAGGACATAAATACTTTAAGAAAAAAAAAAATTCAATTCTAATTTTATTTTTCTTCACATAAGCTTTTATAGTGGGAGGGGGATAAAATGTTTACCAGAGCTATGCACTAAAGGGAGAACTGTTGGGAAACCAAAGTAAATATAAAGTGAATTTGAATTTAAAGTCAAAGTAGCTGAATGTGACCTGGGCATTTTTTTCCAATTTAGCTATTTTTGCCTCTAATGTATAATTAACTTTGAAGTCTCAATAATTATCACTTTGTGATACTATGTGGTATGCCTTATCTTTAGTGAATTAAAGGGACACTATAGGCACACAGACCACTTCAGCGCATTAAAGTCTGGATGCAGTGTCCGTGTCCCCTTAATATTGAGAAACTGCAATGATTACATTGCAGGACTAAGAATGTCTCCAGTGGCTGGATGTCCTCATGCTCGCCACGGATATGCCTTGGCCTTCCCAGGTGGATGACGTCCAAGAAGTCAACGCGCTGACCGTGCACTGAGGGAGATGAACTTTAAAATCAAGTATGAAAAGTTTTTTTTCCCCTTTTCCATGCCATGGACGAGTGGAACTGAGGTAGGTGGGAGCAGAGGAAACTATAGTGTAAGTAATACAACTTTGTATACCATACACTATAGAATCCCTTTAACCTGTGTGATATTATATGATATCCCTTATCTTTAGTGACTCAACTTGTGATATTTTGTATTCCGTATCTTGCAATTATTAGTCTGTGCTGTGCATGTGTTATTCTGTGGGATGTTTGTGACTGTCTTACTTTTACATGTTGGAGAAATATCACTCCAGAAGCCAGTCTCCAGACATGTCCTGCTTTCTGGTCCAAACAAGACATACCTGCAGGCAAAACACAGTGACTTATTCAGTTTATAGGAAAACAGTAGGCACACATGGACATACATAATGCATTAAAAATTATGTTATACAATTGAAATGGCAGTAAACCTGTGTTCTATCTAGATATATGGTTTTCTAGAAAGCATGGCCCCACTTAAACTATATGTAACAAGACCAATATCGCCACATTGCATTGGAGAAGCCTGGTTGCTCGTCTGTTGCCTTTGGACTATGGCCCCATGTTACAAGCCTTCTTTTCCCCTGCAGAAAAGGCTTATCTAACCGTATGAACAGCAAAACTGTGAGCAGTTCGGGAGTTTGGAGCATTCCCTTGTATGCAGTTCGGGAGTTTGGAGCATTCCCTTGTATGCAGTTCGGGAGTTTGGAGCATTCCCTTGTATTCAGTTCGGGAGTTTGGTGTTCTGCAGTAGCTGTGCCTGTGCATCTGAAAAGGGGAATATCGCCTAAACGGTTTTAACCCCTGGTGTGCAAAACGGTACGTTACACTATGCCTTATATGGAGCATAGTTTACATGGGTCAATCCAACTCACCCTGTATTACAGGAATAACGAACCACAAAACCACTTGAAACACCTGTCATTTCAAGCTCTCCGTTATCAATGAAATCTGGTAAACCGCAGGATGTCCCTTAAAGGTGAAAAGAATCAATGAAATAGCAAAGCAAGTAACAGGCTGAAAGATCACATTTCATACATAAAATAACCTTGTTGGACAATGGGAGAGATGATAAAAGGGCTGCGGGAAATAAATAAAACAGTCCAGGAAAGTAAAAATGACATAGGGTTAAAGTCATGATGTGATGACAAAAAAAGTATGTAATAAAACAGAGAGAGAAAGGGTGGACTATCAGGATTATTCACTAAAGTGTGACTTATCGTGAATTCAAAATTGCATAAAACTTTACATTTTTACGACTAAATAGCTGAACTGAAAGCAATCAAACTAGTGAATTTCTACAGATCTGTTATGG